CCTTTGCAAGGGAGGACTAAACACATCTGTAGGGATTGCTTCAACAAGTGAATATCGGAATCAAAAAGCTGGATTCATCTTACCTTTAAGTCTCAATGCTCCCAGTGCACTGCATGGGATCCTGAGGGCAAACAACACCGTCCGTGCATTTTAGACTCCCACCACTGATCTTGTGCCTATGAATCTCATCGACCAGTGATTTCACTTAATCAACTTAATGGTGTATTTGCTGATATCCAGGGGAGCTACGAAGAGCCTCACCGTCGTACACAGCTACTCTCGACCCGTAACTCTGGAGCATAATATATTCCTAGTCTTCATGAGTTAGCAACACGAACCTTGCACCAATTAGCCGTGCTGTGTAAAGTTTCACGCTGACGCCCTGGTACGTATATTTGAAGGGGATCTATGCCACATATGGATTTTTAAAACTTCAGTTTTCTATGAGAACCATTCAGTTAACGGTTCACGCATGCCATTAGGATGAAATCCATGAAAGTTAGGTGTACACGCTTTTTTATTGAGTCACATAAGTGGTTAAGATATGCAACTTGAAGTGAATTTAAAAGATTGGCTTATAGCATTTTCTCAATACTAAGTGTGTAATACAGTATTAGATACTTCTTCTTGAGGATTTCTTCCGAAATGAGGTAAATTCAGATAAGTCAATAGGATACAGGAGGAACCATTTTTGGATAGCAATTGAAATCAGTCAAATAAAAGTGGTTGATATTCGATTATTGATTGTGACTGGTCGTTGAATTCAGTTTATGAAGCGATCTTATCGCCAAACACTTTGTCTTGAAAATGATCGAAAGCAACTTCTTGTGTTGATTATACAAATCCATTTGATTTATCAGTTGTTTACAAGCCCTCCGTTTCCCGACCGATAGCTGCTACCTTGACGTGGTGGTCGGGCTTGCATATCACAATGACCCAACGAGCTATGCTGGTGGAACGCTTGTTCCCTCGAGGTCCTACCATACCAGAAAGGTCTGTTGGGTAGTGGTTAGACGAAAAGCAGTTACCGTTATAGTGTAAATTGCTACACTATGATGGGGGTCTGAGGGCGAAGTCGTACTGCTGCTAGCTGGATGGGGTGTGACAGCAGTAAGGTGTTTCCCTTGGATGACCAGCAGTGCCATGCTGATGCTGCCTTCTCAGTGGAAGGGGGGGTTAGAAAAGGTCGGCCCCAAAAATAACACACTCCACCACGCCCCACGGTCTGCCGGGCCGGCGGTGTTGGTTCACTTGTCGTTTCCTTTCGCTCATCCGGCCCCAAAAATACAAAAATTCAAAATAATCATACTCAAAAGGCTGGGTGTGACAGGCCTCAAGCAGATGTCCGATGGGCTCTGCGGTCACACAAATCTCTTTCAGGTACCTTAAGAAGAAATAGCCTTCCACGGTGTGGGCAGCCGGGAAGTGTCAACCGCCCTCACAACTCTGTCAGCACCCAAGTTTCTTCTGACTGCTATCCTCCTCCTCCATCATTACCTTCTAATCTTCCTTCACGTCTCTTAATTAATGATGCTGCATCATCTTCAATTTCTCCTACCTCTGCAGCCTTCGACAACGATCTGAGTCCACAGAACAGCGTCCCTGGTCTCCTTAAACCACGCTCCAAATTACATATTGGAGCCTTCAATGTCCGCACCCTCCGTCAAATTGGCCAACAGGCTTCGTTGGCAAAGACTCTAGCAACTCGAGGCATGGATGTGTGCTGTGTTTGTGAGACACGCATACAGGACCCAAGTGTGGTTATTCACCTGACCTCTCCTGACCAATCTGGTGAATCTGCAAAATTCACCCTTCGAGTTTCTGGAGATTCGATAGCTAGCTCTCGTGGTCTTGCAGGTGTAGGTATAGCATTAAGCACCAGGGCAGAAAACTCACTACTAGACTGGATCCCAGTTGATAGTCGCCTCTGCGCTATGAGGCTGAACGGCACAGTGAGAACTAAAAGGAATAGTGAGACTCGCCGTTGTCTCTTTGTAATCTCTGCTTACGCACCCACTGACTGTAGTTCGGATGAAGTGAAGGACGAGTTCTACCATAAACTGTCTAACCTCCTCTCGAAAGCCAAACGTTCGGACGTAGTGGTTGTTGCAGGTGACCTCAACGCACAGGTGGGTAGACTGAGTGAGGCAGAAAGGCACTTAGGTGGCACTTTCGGAATCCCAGCTGAACGTACAGATAACGGTGATCGCCTATTACAACTATGCTCAGATAACCGCCTATTTTTAGCCAGCACAAATTTCAGACATAAAGAAAGGCACTGTCTGACCTGGCGTCCACCGAGCTCGACTCAGCGATGGACACAGATAGACCACATTGCTATTAGTCATCGCTGGAGAGGATCGGTGGAAGACTGCCGCTCCTTCTGGAGTACGTGTTTGGACAGCGATCATGCGTTGGTCCGAGCACGTATATGCCTGCGTCTCAATGGACGTAGAAAAAATTTGGCAACAAAACCACTACGAGTTCTGCTGGACAACGAAAACACCAAAGCCGTGTTCAGTGAGAAGTTGGCTAGGCAGTTATCGGAACAAAAGACTGTCACTCATCCAGAAGAAGCTTGGTGCCATCTTCAGTCTACTGTAAAAGCAGCACTGGAGACTGTAGCCGACTCCAAGATAATGGCTAAAAAGAGCCAGTGGATATCAGCAGCTTCTTCCAAACTAATGGATGCACGTGAATGCATCCCTGCAGGCTCTGAGTACAATGAAGAGCGAGCGCAACTTAAAAATAAACTGACGAAAAGTCTGCGCAACGATCGTGAACAGTGGTGGGCAGCAAAGGCTAAAGAGATGGAAAAGGCAGCGGCGATCGGTAACAGTAGACAGTTATTTAGACTTATTAAGGAGACTGGGGGGAAATGGTCAACAACAGTTAGTGAGGTTATAGCGGAGAAGGACGGATCGGCGATTCACTCGCAGGGAAGGCGACTGGGACGATGGGCAGAACACTTTGAGGAACAGTTTAACTGGCCTCCAGCCACCATTGCGCTGCCCGCTATCCAGTCGGACCCTGAATGGGACATAGAGACAGGTCCCCCAACACTAGAAGAAGTTGAGAAAGCGGTAGGTAGCCTGAAACGGGGAAGGGCAGCAGGACCAGACGGACTACCTGCTGAGGTATACAAGAATGGTGGTAGAGTTCTCTTAGTCAGGCTAACGGAAGTGTTAGCCAGTATATGGGAATCAAATACGATCCCCTCCGACTGGTCTAAGTCACTCATCATCCCAGTCTTCAAGAAAGGCGAGAAGTCCTCTTGTGATAACCACAGAGGAATCAGCCTGACAAACATAGTGTCTAAGATCCTAAGTTCTATAATTCTCCGACGCCTGAGTGGAGCTCGGGAACAGCAAGCCCGAGAAAACCAGGCAGGCTTTAGACCTGGCCGTGGATGTATCGACCAAATATTCACACTGCGCCAGGTCCTGGAACATAGGCATGCTTACAGACGCCCGACAATAGCTGTATTTCTCGACCTGAAGGCGGCATTTGACTCCGTTGATCGAGAAGTCTTATGGCAGTGTCTGTCACTGAAAGGCGTGCCTAGTAAGTACATCACCTTATTGAAAGCTCTCTACTCGAACACTTGTGGGCATGTTAGAGCCTATGGTGAGTTGTCCAGGGAGCTATACTCATCAAGTGGTGTCCGTCAAGGATGCCCACTATCCCCATTCTTATTTAATTTTATCATAGATATTCTTATGGAGGTTTCCCTCTCGTCACCTAATTACAAAGACGTTGACCGGATCACAGGTGAATTTTCCTTAGATCTAGAATATGCAGATGACATAGTCCTGTTAGGTGAAGACGCTGACAAGATGCAGAGTCTTCTGAACACTTTGAGTGGGAATTTGAGAATGTTTGGGATGCGATTTTCACCACCCAAATGCAAATTTTTGCTCCAGGACTGGTCTTCAGCGGTACCGCGGTTAACAATAGAGAGTGAAGTGGTTGAGTGTGTTGACCACTTCACTTACCTGGGAAGTAGGATCAACCCGGTGGGTTAGTTGCCGATGAGATTTCTGCACGGATACAAAAGGCTCGATTGGCTTTTGCCAATTTGCGCCACCTATGGCGCCGCCGTGATATTCGTTTGTCTATTAAGGGTCGCGTGTACTGCACAGCAGTCCGCTCTGTTCTACTGTATGGCTGTGAAACATGGCCATTGAAAGTGGAAGACATGAGAAGGTTACAGGTATTTGACCACCGTTGCCTTCGTAGTATAGGACGTATTCCGTGGTGTCACCATGTGAGTAATGCAGAAGTTAGGTGTAGAGTTTTAGGGAGAAGAGGTAAGTCAGTCGACGAGGTTGTGAACCTTCATCGACTGAGATGGTTGGGACACGTACTACGTATGCCTAGTCACCGATTGCCTCGTCACACAATGTTGGCTGAGGTGGGTTCAGGCTGGAAAAAGGCCCGAGGTGGCCAGACTAAAACATGGCACCAATGTATGAAGTCTCTGACTGTTGGTTTAAGCCATGTAGGACGATGCAGACTAGGTGGTTGGGGTCCACGGGACAAGAGGAACCAGTGGTTGGAGACCCTAGGTGATATGGCTCAGAACCGAAGTCAGTGGCGCAGATGTATACACACATTATCCTCATCTTAACAACGCTATACCGAATCTCACTATTTTGTCACTCCTCTTTCCTTTCTTCTCATACTTTATATTTCTTTTGACTGCATTCACTTATCTTCATCCTTCACCTCACTACCTTTTTACTTGATGTGCTGATATGAGGTGTGGCAACTCGGACCGTTACGCAGTAATGCCTGGTCCTATGTTGATAATGATGATGATGATGATGTTTACAAGTTGTCATTAGTTAAGTTTTGTTACTTTAAAGCAGTATACTCTTGGATACATGTTTCTTTCTGACAACATTTATTATTGTCTAACTGAAAACTTATAAATATTTTGCTTATTACAAATGCATATTTTTTTTCTGATATTTGCTTGCACATACTTGTGTATTTAGCATAAATTTTGTGCCAAGTGCACATCACGTTGGTGTAATGCATTCACTACTTGCCCATCGTGTAATCAAGAATTCAAGGCGAACTCAAAATGGCGTGATGGATCTACAGATTTATACATTCAGTTTTATTAAAAGATAATGATTTATTTCCCTTTCAGCATTCTTTAAATCTTTCTATAGAAAAAAAATCAAAAAATTCTTGATGTATATTGAATAGTTTGCCTAAGTTTTATGTGTTCACTTATTTCCATATAAGCTTGTGTTTATTATTGTCTTCTAAATGTGTTTTAATGGCTGTGAGAAAAGTGAATTTTATCTTGGAACATGATGATACTTTTTTAAAAAGGTTTTCTCTGTCTACTGATTAACATTTGTTAGTAGTGTGTTTATCTTCTCACTGTTTGTTTCATTATATGTTTTGTTATATTTTAAAAGGCAAAAAAGTCAAGAAAAATTTAATATGCTGATTTCCTTGCCTTGCTTGTTTTATTTGCAAAAAGAAGCTTAAAGATATGTATCAAAAAGTGAGCAGAAAATTAACTTGAATTTTAGTATGATGATACGATAGTTAACTTAAGTTGATACAACATATTTGGATTCATTTAAAACAATTCTCATAGTATGTTCTATGATTAGCTTTTTCTAAAGAGGAATTTTAAAGCTTTAAAAATGATGTAATTTGCTCGTAAATTTTCTGAGGATTAGTTATTAAAAAGATGAAGGGGTACAGCTGACCAGCTTAAAATTAAGTGATTATACCTGTCTAGTGTGGGCGTAGTTGCAGTGGTTTTTCGAATAGTGATAATAATGATCATAATTCTTGCATACAACTTTCACACTTATTTTGGTTCAAGTCATCGTTTTAACGAATCATTTTTGAACAGTCTGGTCAATAATTAATTCTAGTAGCTTACGTTAAACAGCAATAGTGCAGTTGTTGATAACTGTTGATGTATTTTTCCCCTTATATGGTACTCCTGATTCTAAGGTCGTAATTATTGTCGCCATCGTAGCCAGTGCAGGTACCACCTCAAATGGCATTTCAGTGACCACGTTTTACCAACCTGCTGTATCTGTTTACAGTGGGAAGTAATAGGTATGAGTTTGGGCATACTGGATGTTTGATATACTTATAAAACGGTTGACATTCAGCGTGGTGACCATCTAATGATTTGAATATTATGAACCAAGCTTATTGCGAATCATTAGTTGCCTGGAATGATGTAGATACTTCGACTTTATATATTACTGAGCCACATTATCACGTGGAACCCCATTAGATATTAATCCAAAACATCCCTAATTTTTCCAAGCATTTAGTGTATCAGAGGAAAGACAATACACGCAAATTGTTTCGGTTACTTTTACCCACTCAATTAGTGCATAGTGTTTGGATCCCTAAACTCTCAGTGATCATGTTTCACCTCCACAGTTCACTTACCTTATTTGACTGGGCATTAAACTGAACTCACCAGTTTACGTTACTCACTTCAAAAGTTCTTCAGTAGACATATTTGGTTCCTTATATTTTCTGCCGGTGACAGGAAATGCTTAATCTGTTTTCTGGAAAATCTTATAGGATGTATATTTGTTTACTTTATGTATCCGATTGCTTCGGTATTTATTTACTTATTCATGTATTAACTTGATTGATGTGCGCATCCAGATCCACTGCCTACTTCGACGTGCCATGCTACAAGGAGTTGGATTAGGTTGGAAGAAGGCCAGACGAAAGACGTGAAAGCAGTAGGTGGAATCCTCTACTGTTGATGTGAACCGAGTTGGGAGATGTGGACTGCCTGTTTGGGGTCCTCAAGACGATCGGAATCAATGGTTGGAGATGCTTGGTGACATATCTGAAAATGGGTCACAATGGCACAGTTGTGTTCACTCTTTAACGTCTTATAAAGCTTGAATATATCTACTGACCAAATGCTTGTTTTTTCTACGTTGATATCAGTCTTCTTCCATCCAATTATTCTTTGCATGCTACCGTAAAGTGTAGCAACTTGTTTTAATGCACTTGTGTATGGGGTTCTACGTTGGCTTTTTCTGCATGTCATCCATGCAGTATCAAGTTTTCTGAAAATATCTTCAGTCCCCGTTTTCGGAATATATTCGTAGAAATAAATGGTGTTCGCTGTATATTGCAACATCATGAAAGCCGGAATGCTGCTTTCGACTCTTTGTGATTTCCTGCGTAGAACCAGAAGTGTGTTAAGAAACTTGAATTATTATGATGGAAGTCTTACTACCTTATATTGAATCGAAGTTGTTCACCGAGTGTGCAATGTGAACTATCACCACAGCCAACCAGACGTTTTCTGAATAGGCAGAATTACGAAAATTTGTGATTTGGTCAAACTTTTTCCAGTGATAGTGTTTTTATCACATCAATCTTCTCAAGGTCATGCGCGTATGCGAACTTCCTTCTGCTCGTAGGAATTTCTGACGTATTTATATACCTCAAATAGTTCATACGAAAACCTTTCAAAGCTGTTAGTCTTGATAGTGTTGTCAGACGTCCAGATATCTTCCAAAGGCTCCAATCATAAATATACAAGAGCTCTGAAAATACTTTGGCAATATTTTGAAAAGTTTATATGAAAGCATTCATGGAAACCCTGAAAAGTAAATACATGTATCTGGTGGAATTACTTTCACTTAGGCTTAAATTTCATAACCCTTGGAAGTATCAATCAGCTTACTGAGTTTAACTTAATAAATGATGGAAAAAATTGATTCAGGTGTCACCTCGTTAATATTGTTTATCATGTCCTCATTTCCACAATCTACAGTTATTTAAGGATTATTAAGCAGCTATAATAAATGTTTCTTCGATCAAACAACAAGTGCAGTTTAGTTGCAATGGACAAAGACAAACGTTTGAATAAATGATTCTAACTATAAATGACTCACCAAGATTCCCTACTGATCGTTCGCAGTAGTACAAAAATAAACTAGCAAATTGCAAGAAAGTCCTGAGAAATGTCGAAGTATTCAACTTCTAGCCTTATGCGGTGGATTTCGGTTGTTGCATCTGTATTACTCGTAGGAGGTCCACAAAGTTTGTACCTCGACAAATTAAAACTGTCTATGGTCAGTTCACTGTTTTGCAAACTTGCTTGTTGGTCGGCAAAATATTTACAACCCACCTGTGTAAAAATGGCTACTCGCAGTGTAATAGATACCTTACAATTCGCAGAAATGTTGAAAGACCTAAATATCTGCCAGAAATTTAAGGTTTATTTAGGCATGTCATCTTTATTTACAAAACTCTCACCGGAAGAAACTTCAGACAATATATAATTCAATATACAGGGCTATTTTCACTACTAGAGGGTGAACTTAAGACATTTACTGATGTCTACAAAATACTTTCAGTGGCATCGGACAGTATCAAGTCTACGGACTCATTTTGATAGCCGTTGTTCTTGATCTTCGTTGATATCTACATAACAGTGTTAGCAAGTGGCAAAAAATAAAAGTTATCACTCAAGGTCATCCGCCGTTGGGGCAGAAATATTTTTCTTTGATTGTTCAAATTAATTTTACTGAATAACATTGTGCTTCAACTCATTGGTGATTTGGTGGCTTCATTTTCTGGGTGGAAGCTGTATATAAATACAATGTTTTTTTGTCAAATAAAGTCGTCTCCATTAAGCCAGTCACAGTCCCGTCTTTCATCTGATTTTTGCTGCTCAGTGAAGTACCAAGTGTGGGGGAGAACAGTCGCATTACTTGTATCCACTCCAAGTATCTCATTGTGTTATTATCCGTCCTGCTGTGACTCAGACACATCAGAGAGCTTAGAACAGACTACATAATCATCGATGTTACGGGATTTTGCGCAAAGTGTGCTGATGATACATTTGTATGTGTATTGATGTCGAAAATCCTTTTCGTTTACTGAGTATTTTTGATGAAGCACACGTATATAAAACATTTACAATCAGAAATAAGTGTGGTAGCTTTCACTTCAAAAACCTTAGTATACAAATTTCTACAAAACGGGAAGATATATTTATTGAAGAGACGAATAAGGTGGGCTACACTTGAACGCCAACAAATCTCACCCATTGAGTTACTAAAGATATCTGGTAGAAATACATTTCAACGGTATGTGAAGACTGTTCTCTTAGCAGAAAGTCTAGGAAAAATTAGTCACTGACGCCAAACCACCTGCACAAAAGTGGTTGATCACATAAAGTCGATCATAAACATTTAAAGACAGAAACCAAATTAATTAAATGGAGTACAGTTAAGGAACTCATCTATATACATCTTGCTTTCAGACGGAGGGAAAATCTCCAGAAGAATCACCTACGAAGTTATTTTTATGCTTCAAGGTTTATATGTTTCAACTCAACTTTTCACTTCGATAGTCGAAACTAGATAAATTCCGATCTATATCCACCAGTTCATGTGCACGTGTCGAAGCGCATACACTGAAGAAACAGAGAAAGGCTTTCATGTGCATCTCTAAAAGTACCTTTATTAATTTCAAGCTGGTTTTAAATAAAACAATCGCTTACTAATTACTTCATACTAAAATTTGTATGTATTCGTCAAAATTTATCAAGAGGTAAATGAAACTTGATCTTTTGGGGTTCATTGGAGCAGTTGGTATTAAGAAACAACTGTTAATCTTGCTATATCTTGGTAACTTTGACTCTCTCACTCCAACAGGCGCATCTTATTACTCAACCCAATGAAAACCTGTTAACCTTTTGTTAGATGTATGCAACTGATTTTGTCATCTTTTTTAGAATATCATCTTTCTTAACCACCACTCATTCTGTTATGTTCTCTAGCAAGTTTATTCTATCAATATCTGACATTTGGACAGTTCTAACAACATCGGATTTTATAAATTTAGTTCTCCCTGTACGTGCGATATCTTCACTGAAAGTCACTTTTACAGAAACTAGATTAATCTCTGCATGCAAAATATATTCACTACAGCAATCGAAACTCGACAGGTTTCTGGCTTATGTGATCTTAAATTGTCACGTACACCTCAGAGCACATACATCAGAAGGACATTGATGAAGATTGAGAGCCGATATCGTGAACGTATTGCAAATAAAGTAAGAATAAACGTCTTAAAACTTCCACTGTTAAACGTCTGATAGGTACTTGACACAACATCCAGATCTTGAGTCCATTTGAAATAATCAGCAAAAAAAACTGCTATTTTTCTAATATTCATGGAAGCAACTACCGTCCAAAAGAATTAAACATCTAACTTGTGTATTTAAAAACAAGCAGTTGTTATTCAGTGCAAACCATTCTAACAGTTTTCATATTGTGTCTTCATCTCCTGTTTTACAGCCAATTTGACTATCGGTTCCTATTTAATCTCCATAATTTTACTATTTGACCCATAGTCATTTGACCTTAACCCATGTTCACTTTTTAACTTTGTATCTAGATTTCTGGTTTATCATATTTATTTAAATGATCTTTTCTGTTCCAACTTTTGAAATGTCGCATGTAACAAAATGATAGTCTAACTGTCTAAACATTGAATAACTTTGAATTAACTCTCAACAATTCATTGCATTCAAACTGATGCCAGTTCATGATGATAAATAACCTGAAACCAATAAATAAATCCCCATAAGCCTGTAAATTAAATTAATCTAATGCTTATTGGTGACTCACTTCAAAAGTTCTAATCAGAAGTCGTGACCGGTTGGACGAACCAAGTTGGACATGAGGACAGTTACGCAATGACGACATTGAATGGAGGTCACGTTATATTACGAATTAACAGAAGGAGGAAATATGAACCATTAGGTCCCGACCCATTGGCTCAATGGCAATGAGGTGGCCGTGAAACCCGAAGGTCGTGGGTTCGGTCCCTGGCAGGGTCGTGGGTGTGCACTGCTGAGGAATCGCATACTAGGACGAAACAGCTGTTCAGTACTCCCAGGTTCCTTTTGTTCCTGCAGCTGATGTCAGTCTACGATGAATAACAACATGAAAAGATACAACGTAGTTTCGTAAATTTGATAAAGTTGTTTTGTACAACTGGTTACCGTCCCAACAACTAGCAAGGCTAGAACAACAAATTTCGCAGGATAAGATGAATCCATTGTATTTCGTCGCCTTCTTTCCAGCCTCATACAGACTATAAAAATTATCATTCATATATATATATATATATATATATATATATATATATATATATATATATATATATATATATATATATATATATATATATATATAGAAATGCAATCTACATAATCTAGTGATCACGAGGAAGAAAGTAAATTGATGAAAGAACTAGTGTAGATTAAGTAAGTTTGAATGATTTCAAGCCGGTATTTACCATGGGCTGAAATCATTTGAAGAAACATTGAAAACTTTGGAAAAATTTGCAGCTATTTCTTTCTTAGCAGTGCACGCCCATGACACCACAAGGGATCAAAACCGGGACCTTCGGGTTTCACGGCCACCTCATTGCCATTGAGCCAATGGGTCGGGACCTAATGGTTCATATTTCCTCCTTCTGTTAATTCGTAATATAACGTGACCTCCATTCAATGTCGTCATTGCGTAACTGTCCTCATGTCCAACTTGGTTCGTCCAACCGGTCACGACTTCTGATTAGAACTTTTGAAGTGAGTCACCAATAAGCATTAGATTAATTTAATTTACAGGCTTATGGGGATTTATTTATTGGTTTCAGGTTATTTATCATCATGAACTGGCATCAGTTTGAATGCAATGAATTGTTGAGAGTTAATTCAAAGTTATTCAATGTTTAGACAGTTAGACTATCATTTTGTTACATGCGACATTTCAAAAGTTGGAACAGAAAAGATCATTTAAATAAATATGATAAACCAGAAATCTAGATACAAAGTTAAAAAGTGAACATGGGTTAAGGTCAAATGACTATGGGTCAAATAGTAAAATTATGGAGATTAAATAGGAACCGATAGTCAAATTGGCTGTAAAACAGGAGATGAAAACTGTTAGAACCGCGGAACCTTTAGGTCGTGAGTTCGGTCCTTGGCAGGGTCGTGGGTTTGCACTGCTGAGAAGTCGCATACTAGGACGAAACAGCTGTTCAGTACTCCCAGGTTCCCTTTGTTCCTGCAACTGATGTCAGTCTACGATGAATAACAACTTGAAATATTTCCAAATCTCCACAACTCCCTCAAAATTTAGTTGTATCTTTTATTTTTCGTATCATTGGCATTACTTTGTGGGTTGTAAAGTAACAAATTATTGTCCACGAGATAAATCCATGTAAACTGTGCTAATATTGCTTACTTTATTAAGTTTTTCAAATGGCAAGAAGTGTACAAAACTGCCAGTGTTTTACTAGTCACTGTTCAACGAATAATGTAAAAATTTAAATGTTGAATTTAAGGTCTTCTACAAACACTGTTACAGTTCTTCATCCTCTCTGAACTTGTACCAGCAGAGGGTCCCAAGAGTAAGCAGACACATTCAGTTACCACTTACTGCTTCTTTCTTATTTAAGTTGAGTCTTTTTGGTTCGCTTTAGCGTTAGGTAGAAATGCTGCTAGCCTTAGCTACTCACAACTGGAAGTTTAAAGTAGGTATATGGGTACTGTTAGATCCTGAAAATCAGTTATCTAGAGATAGTTTAAATTACCATACATGCAAAATAAGATTTCCTGTTATTTGATGCGTTTAAAAGTATGAAAAGAAATGGAATAGACTTCGGTGTTTTTCCTAGGCAAATAAATCTACGGGGTGAAAAATAATCACTTGCATAAAATTGTCATGACTCAGGTGAGTAATAGAATAAATGGTAACCTAGATTTATTAATTTATAGTGTAGTCTGCTTGGTCGCTAGTAGTGGAATCTAGTGCTCACGTTTCATCCTGTTTGGCACTGGTCAGCAGGATGTACCTTAACCCCGGTGAGTGATGCTGTTCCCAATATCCATTGCTTCGAATATCGAAATGTTATTGATTTATATTTTAACTGTGTAGCTGTCACCATTGCTTCTTGCTACTGTACATAAACTGACATCCACTAGTCAAAGGACAGGAAAGTCTACCATCTTGTGTCAGAAGAATGTTACGCTCTGTTTAACCAATATCCACACCTACAAGGTACTTTTGTTCACAATAAATCTGTATTTTGCGCTGAATATACTGGTCAATCTTAGTTTATCGGCTCTTTACATTCTACTTTTCCCTCCAGTTTATTAATCCATAGTGTCTTATTGTAGCAGTGAATTGTGTTGCATCTAGATTGCAATTCAGTTTGCGGAAATTCGTTGTAATCCTGATAGGTATCTGCCAATAATTAGTTATTGTTTTATTCATGACTTCTATTCCACTCACTTATGTTATGTGACAAAAAGAGTATTTGTTTAAAACATGTGACATATGTTACCTTCCATGAATTGTATGCCAAATAAACTTCATTATGAGCAGACTGCTCTATTTTCCAAATGTAAATCTCATTTTTGACAAAGTCAATCGAAAATTGCTGAAGATACCATATTAGATCTATTTATTTGATATGCAGCACACAGTGATCTAGTATTATTTACTTGATGACGTTTCAAGCATTAATTATTGGTCATAATCATATCAATGTAATCACACTACTTTCAACATCTATTTTTTATAGTCCTGTCACCTCTTGTTCTTTGTTTCTATTGATAGTAAAATTTTCCATTTCTCTGGTATAAGGGTTGCAACATTACTACTACATGTGTTGAATGTTGATTCGATGAACAAAGATTCAGTAATCAGTCTCACTGTCCACCTAATTATGTTGAACTGACTTAAGTACAGTGGTTTTATACCACCCTTTTGTGTGTTAATGGATGCATTGCAGTAGCCGAGTTCTTATAGATTATTGATCTTATTCGGGTCTGTCATTCTGCATTTAACTGAATTCCTATGTTCTACTATTTCAACTGATCCCAACAGGTTGGTTTCACCTATGTACTTGAACGCATGACCATTGCATGAAATTTGATAGATTAGATTATGTTGCTTAATTGGTTCTAAGGGATCCTTAAGCCAGCCGACAAAGCTTATCTGTGAGTGAGTTTGTAGGTTTAGATGCCACCGTTATTCTAGCTTTGTTGAGGATCCTACATGAAGTTTCTGATGTTCCTTCCTTATAGGGTAACACAATGGAGGCTGTGAACTCCTTTCTAGTTGTGTTGTCACTATTATTCGTACTCCTGTTACTGTTATTATTTCATTTTTTATGCATTCGTATGAATTTCTTAATAAACGGTAGATGACAATTATTAATTATTAACTTTTTTTATGTGTCTCAGTTCCTTATATAGGTCCTTGAAATGACTTGTCAGTTTTTAGCGCTATCATTTAGACATATGACGAAACCTGCCTTAGCTAGCTTCTAACTGGTATCTTGACTTCAGGTCATCTCATCTAATGTCGGTTTTCAAGGGGCGTTTCTGGGTATAATATATCACAGAATTAGTGTACAATACGCATAAATGAATGAATTAAAGTTGTCGGTTTTCTTTGTCGTGTTCGATGTTAGGGTTCACTCATTAGCAAACTGTAAAACTAGATTTCGTGTATAGTGACACTCATCAGCAAATTACACTTACAGTCATAGGGACATTCATACTGTCTTAGGGATTCGAACCAATATCAGTTTCACGTATTTGCATATACACACTGGGTGATGACTAAAGGCAAAATGAAAATCTAGGCAACAGTTGGGTCTCGTTGCCCTGATGACAGAGTACCAGGTCAGAAACCCAGTGGTTCCTGGTTTCGATCCTGCGGTAACTCGAATTTTTATTTCACCACTGAACACCACTCAGTACTTATCCAAGTCTATCGAACCATGGCTATCTCAGATAGTCAAACTGATTATATATATATATATATATATATATATATATATATATATATATATATATATATATATGACTTTGCCAATAAATTTATCGAAGAACTCTACAAAAACGAAATTATCATCTTCACTTGATGACAAAAGTATTTGTTACAAGAAAATATGAAGAACAACGACAAGAAGCAAAAACTTCCAAATCTCACTTTAGTCAAAATATGGAATAGTATTCCTCATATATCATATGAAAATAATAACCATCAATAAAGCATCATTACAACATAACTGATAAAGAATAAAATATAGAAAACATTAACAACATCAAAATTGTGAAGGACATTGGAACGTTTAACACCTTTTTAATCTATTTAAACAATATGCAGCAATCGGAAAAAGCACGGTACATATTGATGTATAAATAAATGCTATAAAAAATAATGAATTTGCATTGAAATATTGTAATAGTAGACCCCATAATAAACCGCCTAGACTACTACTTAATCCATACATTGTGCTTGTTAGAATAGCTTGTAAGCTGGTTAAAATTTGATAGTTTTCATTATTCTTTTCAAGACTAACCTTTTCTGTTTGTGATAATAAAGCATTCATTAATATTGGAAAGCATATACCGTAGGCTATTTCTCCAATTAAAAAGTACCAATAGTTCAATGAAAAGGCATAGAATAAAAAGCGTATAGTTAACATAATCTGTGAAAGAACTTGACATGTGATAATCCCAAATCGTTTTACAAGTATCCCTGAGATAAACAATAATGTTGGTATTTCAACAATAATTGCTGTAGTTATCAATAGACCAAGGAAATAATGTGGTACATGATAGACAGTTGTTAGAATAAGATAATTGTATTCACTAATGAAGGATATAATTAAACCAGTCATAAATGCAACCATTAAACATTGAATCATTGTCGGTGAACGCATAGCAGTAGACAAAGCTTTTGTAAAGTGTCTTTCTAATGGCTTTGTATGGTTATAGTTACAAAATACTGATGCAATAGTCCCAATTGCAATTGATATAACAGCTATTATAATTGCTGGTGTGTAATTAGGAGTCACTTGGTTGATATATGATAAACTAGTTGTATAATATAATATATTCGAACTTGACTCTTTTTTGCCTATATAATGGCCATGACGAGTTGGTGTGTAATAATGTACAGCAAAACCGGTTAACAAAGAACCAATCATAAATCCAAGTGATCCCAGGGCTCTTGACTTTCCATAGTAATGAGCTTTATCTGTTCCAAGTATTGAAAAGGTGGCTGAATCGAGTAGATTTGAGATTGGTGCATTAGCTGAACTGAGTAGACAACGGAGGACTAAGGCGAATAGTACAACTGGCCAAGATGCTTCACCTAATTCGATTTCGTTTTAGTAAATAAAATCAAGGGATAAACAATATATATATATATATATATATATATATATATATATATCGATTTATTTAGTCGAATGGATTCCTTGGTTGTGGCTATCAGAGAAACCCAGGACACACGTTTTGTTCTATTTGAGATTAGTCAGCTGAATGTACCTCCAGCTCAGTGAGTGATGTTCTTCACACTAAGATTCGAACCTCGTACCAATCGCTCCAAACATCAACACGTTATCCACTAGGCTAGCGTCCTAGATTTCACTACACGCCACAACCAGGTCAATTATAATAATAAATATTCAGGCGATGTTGAGGCATCAGCATAGGGGCCCATGTGCTAACAGCAGTCAGTCAATTCGATCCAGTATAGAAAAGGAAAATTACAAGTATCAACGAATAATAATAAATGGATTCAACTCAAGAAATGTTAGCCGAAAAGCCTGTTATTTGACCAAATATCTATTCCAGGTTGGCATTTATTATGGTTTGACGTAAGTTGGTGAAATATTGAAAACATGGGAGCACTCGACATCTGTTCCGTCCTAGTATGGGACTTCTCAGGAGTGCACATCCATGAAATCGTCAGGGATCTAACCCAGGACCTTCAGGTTCCGTGGCGAGCACATTGCCATTGGTTCACTGGGTCGGAATGCAATAGTTTATATTTTGTTCTGTCAATGTCCTCCCAAGTGACGTTAATCCATCATGAATTTCAACCTAGAATCAATTAATAAATCTCCACAAACCTCCAGATTGAATCAGTATAGTGCTCATTGGTAACTCGCTTCGAAAAGTGATTCCCGAAGTTCTAATCAGAAGTCGTGACCTGTGGAACCAACTAAGTCCAATATGAGGACACGACACTGAGTGGACGTCACGCTATATCGTGTACTGATAGAAGGAAGAAATATCCATCATTAGGTTCCGACCTAGTGGCTCCATGGTAACGTGCTGGTCAAGGAATATGTAGGCCTGGGGTTTGATACTTGGTCGTGTTATGGATATATATTGTCATGTTTCACTTACGTATCCGTTCGCACACAATGGGTATACAGTCAGATTGATCAAATGATTCAATTTCTTGACAGATGAGTTGAGTTGTTTATTTGCCTGTATCTTCTTTTCTTCATATTTTGACGCTTCACGAGAATATTCTTTACTATTCGCATAAATTGCTGATAATTTATCTAGATTTGAATCTTTTAAATGATAATCGTTTGACACAAACGAATTTCTGTCTAATTTGCATTGTTTTAATATATGTGACCAACACGGAGGTAAATTTGATTTTTCATGAGATGGTGTCCTATTAAATAGTAACATATGGAAGAAAGGTATAAACGAAATATAATAACTGTAGTTTTGTACTTGTAATTTTCAAATACTAATTCATTGAATGACCTTGCCTGGTTAACCAGTTCACTAGTTACTAGCCGGTCCTAAGCCCGGATAAAGAGGGAAGGTTGGGTGAAGGGCTAGCAACCCTACGCCGTAAAACCAAACCAACCGCTAAAGAAACTTCATAGCACAAACAAAATATAAAACATAAAAACAAAATTATTCCTTGCCGGAATCAGAGAGGCGAAATGACGCCGGTTAGTGAAAGCCTTCGGGAAGCCAATTGGCCTATTGTATCTTCTCCTCCTCCATGAAAGCGAAAGTAAGAATGGGGTCATGGAACGTCCACACAATGTTTGAACCTAGCTGGCAGGGCTGTCCACATTGCAAGAGACATGAGAAGATATAGCATAGAGGTGCGAGGAATCTTCAGGTGGAATGGAAGTGGACTCTCCAAACTGTCAACTGAAGAGTCAGTTATCTACTCCAGTCACCCAGACGACAACCACGAGCACACTGAGGGAGCGGCTATCATGATGTCCCCAACAGCATCGAAGGGTCTCATGCAGTGGGAACCAACCTCCTCCTGCAGGATCATGACAGCAAGGTTCAACCCAAAAGGACGATGGGTAACAATCATACAATACTAGGCCATGCACCTACAAGTAATGGAAATGAAGAGAAGAAGGAGGAATTCTACAGACAGCTGCAATCAGCACTGGACAAGACTTCAGTTGGTGACATCAAAATTCTGATGGGTGATGTGACATGAATGTCAAACTGGGAGAGGACAACACAGGAAGAGAACTAACCATGGGTAGAGAAGCGCTAGGTGAAATGAACGAGTATGGAGAATTGTTTGCAGAATTCTGTGCATTCAACGATTTGGTGATTGGAGGTAGTATGTGCAAGCACAAGGATATTCAAAAAATGACATGGATTTGATTTCACCAGATGGACACACTAAAAATCAGATCGACTTTATATCAATCTGAAGGAAGTGGTGACGCCGCCTGCTTGACACTAGGTCAAGAAGGCTCAGACAACTATCCAGTGCAAGGAATCTTCCAAATCAAGTTGGAAGCCTTCAAGGAAGTTGGTGGAAGACCATAGTTCAAGTTCAATACCCATACAGAAACTGGAGGACGAAACTACAAACGACATCTTCACGTCAGCCATCAGCAAGAAATAAGAGACATTGAGCAACATCCGTGAAGAAACCTGTGTGGAAGAACACTGGAATTCTTTGAAAGAGATGTGGAAATAAACCTACATAACCTTGTTCACAAAGAAGAAGAAGAAACAAGACAAGGAATGGATCTCCACGGATACATGGAAGCTGATAGAGGAGGGATACGAAGGTGGTGAAGCAGACGAACCAGTCAAGTGCAGGGATGAACAAAAAAGGGAACTGAGCACAACCTATAAAACAGTACGCTGGACAAAGAAGTGAAGAGGAGTGCGCGCAAACACAAAAGACATCTCCACGACACACTTGTAAGTGAAGCAGAACAGGCTGACAGCTGATAGGAGAGACAGAGACCTGGCAACATTATATCAAATAACCATGTTACTTCCTGGGAAGAGATCAACACAGATGAGACCAATAATAGAGGATGAAGGATATATAATTACCAAAGAGGAGAAACAAAGGAAACGATGGGCCAACCACTTCAAAAAGCTCTTGAATCGACTCCCACCTGCACTTCGTCCAGGAATACCACCTGCAGCCACAGAACTACCAATGAACACAGGCCTCCCAACAAAGGTTGAAGTCCTGAATGCCATAAAGCTGCTGAAATTCGGGAAAGCAGCAGAACCAGATGGAATCCTGCCAGAAGCACTGAAAACAGAAGCAGAGACAACAGCAAACACGATCACAGCACTATTGCAGAAGGTCTAGAAGGAAGGAAAGGTACCTGCCGATTGGAAGAAGGGCTACCTTGTCAAACTTCCAAAGAAGGGAGACCTAAGTGTTTGCAAGAACTGGAGCGGAATCACGCTCCTGTCTACCCCAAACAAAATATTGAGCCACATCATCCTGAAGAGACTAAAGGATGCGCTGGATTCAAAACTACGACGGGAACTGGCTGGGTGGATTCAGGAAGTACAAATCATTTATGGACCAAATTGCAAAGCTTCTTATCATCATGGAACAGAGAGTAGAATCGCAGTCAACTCAACGCAACCTCAACATCATTGACTTTGGAAAGGTCTCTGACTGCGTCGACCGAGAAGTAATTTGGCAGTTGCTTCAACACAACGGTTTTAGTGTCACAAACCTTTATCAATCTCATTCAACAACTATATGAAGACGCCATATGGCAAGTAATTCACAATGGGAAGCTCAGTGATGCCTTTGAAGTGAAGACTGGAATAAAACAAGGCTGTCTATTACCACCCATGATCTTCCTGATTGTAGTGAACTGTATCATGCAAAAAACAGTGAGGAGTGAGAAGAGGGGGATACGCCGGACCGCGGAAAAGAACCTAGAAGATTAGGGTTTCGCCGATGACTTATGTCTAATGTCATACATACTTGAAGATCTACAGGTGAAAACTAACAAGTTGACAAAAGAAGCAGAGAAGACGGGACTCCAAGTTAGCGTTGAGAAGACGGGAGCGATGAAGATGCCCAACCAGCAACAGCAACAACAACAAACTGCAATCACCATCAATGGGAGAAACTTAAAGGAAGTAGTCTGTTTCACCTATCTAGGCAGCATCGTTTCAAATACAGGCCGCACTAACAAGGACGTCAAAGCAGCCAGGACCGGAAAAGCAAGACAGGCATTCATTAGCCTGAAACCAGTGTGGAGATCTTCTGCACTCAGCATGTGGAACAAGATCCAGATTTTCAACACCAACGTCAAGTCAGTGCTTCTGTATGGTTGAGAGACTTGGCGCGTCACGAAAGGGATTTCCAACAAACTACAGACATTCATCAACAACTGCCTACGCCGGCTCGATACTGAGGCTGAGATGGCCAGAAACAATAAGCAGTAAGGAACTCTGGTAACGAAGAGCCTACCACTCAATAAATATGCAGAAGGAAGAAGTGGAGATGGATTGGGCATACACTGAGAAGGCCTAGTGGGGATATCACGCGCCAGGCCGTCGAGAGGAACCCAGATGGAGAACGGCAAGTTGGGCGTTGGTACCAATGGTGACATGGAGGAGACCGTATGGGGAAGAAATGAGAGCTTCTGGGCTGTCGTGGAGCCAGGTTGGGGGAGACTGCAGAGAACAGAGTTCACTGGAGATGTGCTACTGAAGCCCTGTGTTCCATTAGGAACCCAAGGGACAAATAATGATAATAATATTATGGCACTATATTACTAGATAAAGATAGTGACTGTAAAATACCAGCCCGTAAATCATCAGGTTTATGTGACAGTATTGTCAGCAAAGCCACCTCACATTAAGAGCATCTACGAAAATAAACAGTAGAGCTGTGTCTGAAGTCAACCACTATTGGAAATGTCCAAAATGTATGGGTTCTCATTGTGAGACTAAACGCACACGACGATGTATTATATAAACAGCTAAAGGGAGAAGACTAGAAACCATGAAACAGGGAAAATACCAATATCTTGGAATGGTAAAATGATGAACAAAATACAATTATAGCAAAACGAACAACTGAAGTTGAAGATAGGTGAGGATGTTTGATTTATACTACTTTTAAACAGTAAGTAGTATAAAATGTAAAGCGTAAAAACGACATGTGTGACGTCAAAACATAAATTAGAACGAATTATGAATGTCAACCAGAAATCGATAAATAAATTCCCACAAACCTCTAAAGTAACCTAAAGTGAAGTAGTAGATGAATTAATAATATTTTACTTCAGTGAATTCGGTAGAATTTGTAATAGGTTAGGTACGGGAATATTTTTAAGCAGAATTGCTTTAGACGAAAAATAATTAAGATGAAACTTAGTCATTACCAACGGAATGGAAGAATGTTTAACAAGTTACTTGAATTATTTAACTTCTGAGTTCTTCTGTGTCAATCACTTGAGGCAGTTGGTGCAAACTTTACCCATGCAAAGCTCCTGCCTACCTTGACGTGCGATGATAGCCAAAGTAGAATTAGGATGAACGATAGCCATGAGTGGTTGAATGAGGTCGTTACTCTGACTAATAGTTTGAGCCATGTTCGAAAGGGGAGACTGGCTGAGTTAAACTCCTGAGACTATACGAACCAATGATTGGGGACTCCGTTTGGTTTGGCTCAAAATGGATCACAATGGTGATGTTTAGACTCCGTGCATTATTTGAAGTTTTGAGTATTCCCGTTAATCATCATCTATTTGCTCTTCTTCCACTGCAATAATTATTTTCTTCATTATCATTCTTTCCCCGGTCACCTTTTTGTCGCATTACACTGTGATATGTGTCAATTAGAAACAATGAAATCCTGTTCCAGGTTTTACATTATTTTGTGTATCTATCTGTGTGACAAAACCTTGAAGAAAATTGAGAAAATTCCAGATTGTTTTCAAAAATAGATTGATGTCAGCTGGCAAAACAATGAGGACCAAAGTGTTGAAGAGATTTTGTCATATGGTTTTTAACTATTCACTAGTGTTCGTTAGCAACTCGACAGGCTACTGAGATGAAAACTTCCAGTTTCACAAAAACCAGGTTACAATTTAAACACTGAAGTGAAACTCAATATTAGTCAGTTGAATGGAAACGACGGACAGGAAGCCTTGGACCTTGTTGGCACTCGTCATCGAGGCGTATCTGCAACCTGGAGGGAATCGATATCTCGCATGAGACTGCGTTGTTTAGGTTCTATCATTTCATAATGCTGTTACACTGTCATCCGCTATCATCAGCAACTGTCTGTTTCAACTGAAGATTTTGTTAACCTAAAAGGTTGGTGGTTTTATAGATTAAATCTGTTTTCGATTTAGATTATTTTAGAAAGTCATTTCTGTTTGGTTTATATCAGTGAAA